ACCCATGGCACACCCATGTTTCTGCCTAGAAACATGGGTGTGCCATGGGTGTCTCTCCTCCAAGAGACTGAAGAAGTCTCTTGGAGGAGAGACGAAACGTTTCATTAGAGAAGAACCCGTCCAGAAGACCTATACAATTTTTTCTTTTTGATTTTTTACCTGGATTACTGAGATGCATCAGGACATTTGCACATGTGCTTTTATTCTTTATGCACTTAAGTGTAAATAATAAGGAAATATGTTTTGCATCATTGAACTGTTATAAAGAACATTTCAGGTGATTCGTACAAACTTTTAAATATAGTAGCCAGAACATGTTTAAAGTTATTTAGTTATATGCACTATTATTATAATATAATTATTTAGTACATGACACGATCCTTCTGTAGTAGAGTGTTAGAAGTCAAGAGTCTGGACTGTAAATCAAACAGAATCCCTTCATTGCTCCAACAAACGGCACCGACCCTTGCCTTGTATAAACGCTGGAAGAAAAGGCAGCCGTAACTGGAAACCTGCTGAGTCTCATCAATAATACAGAGTCTTCAGACAGCAACATGTTCTGCCAGCGAGGCCTCGAATATGTCCAGATGGGCCTTTTTTTTAAGAGTTTCAATCCTTTCATCTCCCAGTTGTTACCCTTTAAGGCTTAAACTTTAAGCTTATTAGCTGAGCAGCTGTGTTTGATTATTTGTTTTGATAAATGAAAAGAGTTTTATGAGTGAAGCTGGAGTCAGACATGCTTTCTGTTTGCTCACCATCAATCTGTCGAAATGTTTCCGCTCCCTGGGACCGTAGATGCCGCAGGGCCGCAGGGCGCAAGTCCTGAGAACGCCTCCATCTGTGGACAGAGACGCAGAAACAAATAAACACATTCCCATCGCTGCACAGGTTTCCAAAATGATGCTGAAGATACCTGACTCAGACTGGGTTTTGCTCTGTTTGACTTTTATAATGTTTTGGACATTTAGCAACAATTTATAATTTAGAGATGTTGATTTATTTGCTGTTATTCTGCATTTACATTGTTTAAAAAGGTCAAATACTGACCTGAAATTTAAATGATCAGAAAAAACAAAGACAGAGCAGCTGAAGACAAGATGTCTGATGATGCCTCCCTCCTGCTGCTGCTGCTGTTGTGTGTTTATGTTTTCAGACGGCGTAGTGGAAAAAACAGATCATGACATTTATCCTGCAGTATATAATGAGACACCATCCATGCTTTACACTTAATTAAATGTAAGGGTTAATGCTCAGCTGATAGGGCGTCAGGTTACACTGAAGTGGACGAATCAGAGGCTTCGGGCTTGCACATAAAACAACATTTTGAAACACAAAACCTATTTAAATATATTGTTGTTGTGTGTTCCAGCAGGAGGCTGAAACAGCAGCATGGGCGGGCTCCTGTCTGTGCGACTCTAAATTTAAACTGTCGCAGCACGTATTGGATGGCACGCTCCGTCTCCATTGCGACCGCCGTTTCCAACACACTCAGTTCCACACAGAAAGGAAGAGTGGGACCGCTCCGGCCCGCCACCTCTTCACATCATTCTGCGCTGAGGTTCGCACCTTTCAGCGAGGATCCGTTGGCCGACAGGACCATCTTCTCTGCAGCCGTTTTAGTTTTGGAGTAGTAGTCAAGGTTCTGGAACAGACAGAAATGTTGGCTTTAGGCTCTGCTGTGGGTAAAAGTAAAAGATTGGAGTTTTTTTTTTTAATTTGACCTGCTGCCGCTCACCAAATCACTGGGCACGTATGGTATTGAAGCCTCGTCGCCGTTCATGATGGGTTCCCCTGCAAACACCACGTTGATGGTGCTGGTGTAGACCAGCCTGGGGATGCCTCTCTCCTTACATACTGACAGAGTGAGAGTTTAATCCAACTCCACAAACRCAAAAARCYGAAACACRGTTAGAAATYAACCCCYCGAGGATCTTCTCACCATTTATGARGTTACTGGTCCCTCCGATGTTCACCGACTCYATCAGCTCCTTCCTCAGCTGGAGGTCAGACACCACACGAGACAAAACGCTTTTAATAACAGCACAAGTGACTCATTTCTGCACACGAATCAAATCACTGCTCTCTGAATCACGCTGGACGACGGCTCAACTCCTCTCTGTTCAGACAAAAATCTTAGAAACCAACAGAACCGGTGAGATGTGTTTCATTTGCTGTTTGGGCTCAAAGATCTGCGTMAAAGAGAGACGTCAGGATCTGACAGCCGACCTCAGTTTTCTTATCATTTATCTATTAATCAGCATTTGTGGTGTGTTTTCAGTACCTGAAATATCAAATCTAATTCAACTCTCACTGGCTCTCTGCCYTTTCTCATCTCTAAAAATAACGCATTATTTATTTTAAGGTAAYGTTAATCTTTTGGGAAATTGTTTATTGTGGCATGTTTACGTTTGGTCAGATTTTTAGAGAGTTAAAGGTTCTGGTTTAACCTAAGATTTAATTGTGACATTTAATAACTTTACTTAGTTGTATTATTTTGTGAAAGTTTTGTCAAATTAGAGTTTTTTCTGCTCTACGTCCCTCCATAATCTTTTGCTCTTGGTTTAAAAAAAATAATTTAGCGAATTACATTAAAAAAACATAAAAGTGAATGTGTTCACCATCAAATCAGAGACTGAATATATTAAACATAAAAACGTTCTAAAAATGACTTTTTTATTTGTAGAAGATGAGAGTGGGGAAGATGAGGTTGATAGGTCAGTTTACTGATCAAAAAACAACTTTCACAATAACAACTGTCAAACAACAAATGTACATTATTCATGTTTCAAACTTGTTATTTTAAACTAAAAGACACTTCATTTATAAACGTTTTTTTTTGGGGGGGCGGTCATGTCATAAACTTTCAGGACTCAAACGTTAAAGGAAACCATGAAAGACCACCTCAGATTTAGAGGTCAGAGGTCAGGTTAGGGTCAGGAGAGTCCATGCATTATGTAAACATTGAATATAATCAAACAGATCAATAAAAATCTCAACGATATGAGTTTGGATTAGAAATTAACTATTTAAACATATAAAAAATGTTTTTTTTTGTCTTTAAATAAGCCTTTATAAATCTTTCAGCCTGTTAGAAACATAAGGAGATAATYACACAACGAATAAACTGATGGAGTTTATTCAACTAATCTGAAAATTAAAGACGTCTCGAAAGTTAAGCWGAGCAGAAAAAACTCAGAGCTGAAAATCTCAAAACATTTTACGCCTTTTTTTCCCCCCAAATGGGCAAATTGGTGAAAACTGGTTTCATCAAGCCTAAATGTTTGATGATATTTCGAGCTGGGCTCCTTCTTTTCTTTCCTTGTGAAACTTGACTGACTGCAGGAATAACGACGATGGGAGGAAGTCAGGCAGCTTTACAGAAAGTTCAGCTCCTCGTTTTWATTAAGAGCCAGGAGACAAATATTCAAACAGAAATTAAAGTTTCTTTCAGTCATTATCAGTTTGTGTTCTTGTGTGTCATAATTCTCCYGCTTTAACCCAACCAGTTTTTGTTTAACTTTTGTTTTTGTGACAAAGCTATGGTAATCATTGCMGGAATCTATAGCTGCAGGAAGAAGCAGCTGACATTTCAGGTTGGAGGACTGATTGTCTGCGAGGACAATTTAACAATTTAAAGGCCTGTCAGTCAGCTTTGCACATTGATCGTGTTTTAAAGAAAGAACCGTGTCTTCACTCCTATTCGAGGTAATTAAACGCTGAGAGGCTGGATGAGATGAAGGAAAAAGTCACCTGCTCTGGTCCACACATGCCGGAGGAAGCTGTGTGGAAAATGCAGTCCACCCCTTCACACACTTTATAGAGGGAGGAATAATCCCGAATGTCGCTCTGTGGGAAAGAACAAAACCAAGCTTCAGAGGATGGAGACAAATATAAAAGATTCTACAATCAACCCTTGAAAGGGCAATTAGTGTGAGGTATGTGAGGAGGCGTGCAGGTGAAACGTGACTCATGTCTCCACCCTCTCAGCTGCTGTTCTGGTGGATCACTCACCTGTGTCAGTTTCCACCCAGAGACACGCTGACGTTCACAAGTACTGGAGCTGATTTTCAAGAATCAGCTCCAGTGTTTTTGCACCGGAGGGCYCTTAGAGAGAGAGAAGGTGCAGAATCCTAAAAATGTATGGAGGAACGACGAGTACCTGATAGAAGACGGCTCCATCAGGAATCTCACAGGGAGGTTTGTTCAAGTCCATGAGGATCACCGACATCCCCTCACCGGCCAGCTCCTTCCCCAGGCTGAAGCCGAAGTAGCCCGCTCCTCCTGTCACCACCACCTTCCCCTTGGAGGAGSCCCGAGCCGCCGCCACCTCCTCCTCCGCCAGCTGGGAGGCCGCGCACTCCGGGTTGCTGCAGGCTCCTGCACAGACTCCACTGCCTCTGTGGCGCACGGTGGAGGAGGAGGAGGAGGAGGAGGAGGCCCCGGTCGATTGTGAGCCGTTGGTCCAGGACTTGCAGGCGACCGAGGGGAAGTTGTTGGTGTGGTGTCCACATCCCTGCAGGCGGAGAAGGGGCGCACTGTGGCAGGGGAGCTGCTTCAGCTGGCACACGGAGGCCTCGCTCATGTTTGAACACACCTCCATGATTATCCTGAGGGGCAGAGGGACAAAGTACCATATTTATTCAGTATAATACGATCTCGAGTATAATACGATTATAATTTTTTGAGATTAAAAAGCATAAAAAATTCACTCATCAATAACCCGTGTATAATACTATCCCCCCATTTTATGGATGATTTTTAGAGTTAAATTTCTAGTATTATTCATGAATAAATACGGTAATCAAAACTCTGAGTATTCAGGGCTTCAGAATCATAATCTGACTCTTTTCTGAATGATGATGGTTATTTTTTCTTAAACGAAATGTTCATCAGATGTGTTTGCTCCATACATCTCATAAAAATGTAACCTGACACTTCTATTTACAAACTTCAGGATTTCCATGTAAATTGACAAATTTTACGTTTAGCAAACGACTTAATACATAACGATCGTTTGTGACACACGTCTCATTTTAAAGTATAAAATAGTTTAAAGTAGATACCAAAAAACACCTCCTATTTAATGTGAGCTCATCCTGGTAAATTAACCTAAACTTCCACAGGTCAGCTTGAAATTTAACAAATAACAAGTCTGTAAAATTTTTAAAAAAAATTAAAGGTCAGAGTTCAGATCAGTTTTCTCAGAGTAATACTTTTATAAATGAGCTCACCCTATTCTTGCTGTCCTCCTCTTGTCACGTCCATACCTGCGCCGGCTGCTTTATGATGAAACCAAACCCATTCCGTCCCTCTGGTCCCTCCCTAAGCTCCGCCCTCTGGCCTGCCTGTCAAAAGGTTCAACACCGTAATGTTTGGACGCAGCGCGCAGACACTTTTCCAACAACAACAGGTGCACTAAAATCTGACAGCAGAACCTTTAAAGACTGTTTAACTAAAACAAAACTTCATTTTAAAAGTATGAATAAAAACAATAAAAAGAAAGTGCTGGTAAACTATGTCCTTCAGCCAGTGTTGTATAAAGTACCACAAAGTAATACTTCAGTAAAAGTACAAGTATCTTACAAAAGAATTACTTCGGTAAAAGTTAAAGTCTCCTTTGGGAATATTACTTGAGTAAAAGTATTAAAGTATCTGATATTTTTGTACTT